GGGGGGGGGGAAGAACAAAGGGCCTTCAAAAAGAATGCTCAAGAGAAGGAGCCTTTTGGATGGGGGGATCAAATCCTCTTGTCTGACTGTAAAGGATCCAAACAAACATTATCAAGAACCAAAAGAAGTTGAGAAACATCACCAAATTCAGCATCCCTCAAGCCCCAATAGAACCCAAAATCCCAACTTAAAGACAAAGGCAAAAAGGGGGAGGGGAGAAAATTTGACACAACCTTATTCTTAGACAAGGAAATAGAGTAGAGAGAAGGGAAAAGGTATCTCAGGGCCGAATTTCCCACCCAGACATCTTCCCAAAAGAGAACAGAATTCCCTGAGCAAACATTGTACCTGGCAAAGTTGAGAAATTGGGGAAGGATGCTTTGAACATTTTGTTTTTGAACACCTAAAAGCTTCTTTGAAACTGTCGAAAGGAGAGAGCATTCTTACAGTTGCTGATGTTACAATGAAATTATACCAAGTTGAAATATAGTATGGTACCTATTAGATTAGATTGTAGGAGGAAGAAGGAAGAGGTGTGAAAAGAGGAGAGAAGGAAATTGGGGAAAACAGTGGAATAGGCTTAAATGCCAGCTTATTCCATATTCTTTACTATTTTAAGAACAGTATAATTACACTTGTTCCTTGCTTTCTTTATGATCTAGTGTATCTTGAATTCATTATGTTATGTACTCTCAATACATTTACATACATTTTCAAAAATCAGCTTGTACAAAAACTAAGGAATTTCATAAACAGCAAAAGAAAATATAGAAGATTTACATCTTGAAAAACTGGAGTTATCGATGGTGACCAAATCAATTGATTTTTGTACAATGTAGATGATGTTAATTTGGTACTAATTATGAAATGTATAAATTTGTGGGGTAAATTGTTATAATCTCCATATAGAAGTAGCTAGCACAAAACTTGAATTGACTCAGATAAATTAAGCACATGCCTCTTCCTTTAGTATTGAATGAATTTTTCTGATGTTGCTCTTATTCTTTCTAGAGTTAAAACACGTCTTTTAACTGTGAATTAGCAATAGTAGTTTATTTTATTACTTGCAGGATGCACTTATAGCCATTAAAGGTGGTCGCATTCCTCCTCCTGGAAACTTGCCATCTTTTGAAGAAATTAAGGAAATTCTAGGTTTTAATGCTTACTCTGAAGAAGAAGAGCATTATGTTACCAACATTAATAATCTTTCTCTGCAGAGAGGTTAGTCAACTTGTATCTTTTATTTCACAATACCCAAGTTATTGTTGAAGATCTTTGATCAATTTGGAATTTGGCTTCAGCAATTTGGTGTTGCTGGTGACCAAAATCATGGAAAAGTGATATGATCAACGAGGTGCATCATTTGATTTCATGGCATATTACCAGGTTAAACACAGATAGTCAGTCTGAAAAGCACAAATCCCAAATTAAAACCAACTATTTGAATATTAGCCCAAATGGATATGCTCTTCTCTTCCTAATTGTTTCAAGTTTAGGTTCTTTACTATCAAGCAGCAATACATGCAATATACAGCAGAGCACACCAGATGTTATTGGAGAAAGTGGTCAAAGTCGGCAGGATCCTGTCATTGAAGTGATAACTCCTGATGTGTACAATAACTATGGTGCAGATGGTCCAAGGGGTCCATTCTCTGGGATTTGGTCCCGCACATTAAGAGTGAAGATCACCGGAAGGGATGGATTTGAGAAACTTGATATCAGGATTCCTGTATGTTTTCCTATCCTCTTGGGTGAATTACATTCATAGCTTCATGACAGAACCATGAATGTTATACACATATTGATATTCTCTTTAATTTTAAATGGTTTAGATATATGGTAAAACATCTGCATATGGTGACTTTTTGTCTAACTGATGCTAGTATATATGTTGAACAAAAAATAACCCAATCAAATGATCCAATATGATAGATGCACCTTTTTTTTTGAATTACCTATTTTCTTTTAACTCCATAAATTATGCACCAAGGAAGGAGAAAAAGGAGTATATAGATGTAAAGCAGTCTTCTAATATCAAGATTAAACTTAGTGATTAGCAGAATAGAACAGATCTGAATAACTGTATAAGAGAGGAAGATGGCAAAGAGAAGTGGTAAGAGAAGAAGAAGTCGAAATTAATCACCTTTTCTCCTCTAACCCTATTTTATTAATCTCTAAAAATTGATGATGACAAGTATACCCTTAAGTGGGCGGCCAGCTTGGCAGTTACATATAGAAAATAAAATAAGAACAAATAACATGCCCATTAAGTGAGGCCCATCAACATAAAATAAAAGATAAAATAAAGGATATCACACGAAAGGCTGTTAGGGCCCATTCGGCCCA